GGAGGAGGAGGAGGAGGAGGAGGAGGAGGAGGAGGAGGAGGAGGAGGGTGAGGGAGGGAGGGAGGGAGAGGTACGGGCGACCAGAAGAGGATACCGGTATCCAGCCTCATACCCCTCCTCCTTCCTCTCTCCTTCTGCCTCCTCCTCCTCCTCCTCCTCATCCTCGTCGTCGTTGTCGTCATCGTCGTCCGTCTCCTCATCCGCAATCGCAGGGGCTCCAGGAGCTCCAAGATGGTATCTCCTCATGGTGGCCCCGCCAGGGGCGAGCTGAGGAGATACCTCTTCCTCACCCATCGCGCCTCGCGCCCCTCCTCATTCCATCACATTCTCCTCCCTGGACCTGGGGAGTCAGTGGAATCGCGGACGCTTCTCGATGAGATCTCAGGGCTGTCGGGATTCCTTGTGCGGTTTTCGGAATTCCTGGTTGCCTTGGTTTCTCGGATTCCCCGACCCCAGGGAATTTTTGAAAATGTCGAAATTATTTAAATTATCTGATTTTTTTTGAGTTTTCGAAATTTTAGGAAAAATCTGAATTTTCAAAATTCTGGTGTTTTGGAGTTTTCGGGAATCCTGGTCGCTTGGCTTCTCGGATTCCCCGACCCCGGGAAATTCTGAAAACTTGGAAATTATCGAAATTTTTGGAATTTTCAAAATGTTTTTCGAATTTTCGTTTTTTTTTGGGGGGGTGTGGGGGGGGGGAAAAACCGAGATTTTCAGAACTCTGGTGGTTTGGAGTTTTCGGGAAGACGAGGGCGTCAGGTTGGGCGTCGGGAGCGGTGTCCCCTTCCTCCTGCGACTCGCGACTATCTTCACACTTTTCCCAGTGGAGGCAACTGACCGTCGCGGGTCGCGTCGCCAGTGGGTTGTGTTGGACGGTCGGCAAGGTCCCGGGTGCCCTGATCCACCCGGCCGCGTGCTACCTCCGAAGCGGGGGCTGGCCCGCTGGGCTGGCCTTTCTCCTCCCTGCCCGCTTCCCCCCTCCCCGCTCGCTACCCCCCCTCCCATGGCGACGGCGCCCGGCACTGCGCGGCTCCGGCCCGGTGACGGGCGCCTGCTCCGTGCCGCCTTGGCGGCCCCGCTGTTTTTGGCGCTGCGCGGCTCAGGCCCGGCCCTCGACACTGCGGATCGGCAGCACAACGCGCTTGCCGGCGCAGTGCAAACTTTCTCCCTGCAACGCACCGGCATCCTGTCGGTCATCGACGGCAAGTTCACGGTTCGCCCGGCTGCCGTGCCTCAGGCTGCGGGCCCCCATGCTTGTGGAGTGGACTACCGCATCATTTTGGTGGCACAACGTGGCTCTCCTACTTCGTGGTGCTCTTCTTCCTCCCGAGCGTCGACCTGGTCAAGTGGCGCGTCCTCTCCCGCAGCACGTGAGGCTGGCGTTCGCGAGGCGCCGCTGACGGCTACACCGCCGACCCTTTTTCCTCGCGGGACTTCACCGCCGGGCTCCTGTCCAAGGTGTGCGTGCCTATTCCTGCACGTCCCGTTCGGCGCCGCCTGATCCCGGGCTCCGCCCGCTCCTGGCCGCGTGAGGCCCCGCCTGCCCCCCCCCGTCCCTGTCAATTAAAGCTGTGCGCGTCCCGCGGAGTTTTTAGCGGAAGAGGTTCGCTCTCGCCCTGCAGATCAAAAAAGTGTGTGTGTGTGTGTGTGTGTGTGTGTGTGTGTGTGTGTGTGTGTGTGTGTGTGTGTGTGTGTGCGTGGGGTTCTGTGTGCGGAGCCCTATGTGTGGAGCTTTATAGGTGAGGGGCCCAGGAGCTAAGGTGCTCATGTCCAGTGGGGGGAGGAGCCACGTATGTCCGAGCACTTAGCGGAACGTGCGCCACGCATGGCCTTTGGGGCAGTAGCGCCTTCTCAAATCCATATGTGAAGCCAAACCGTGGGAGTCAAAGCGCCAAATAAAGAAGGTTGTTGCCGACGTGAAGCCAATCATTCCACGCCATTTGTTGTCTTTTTGGGCCTTCGTCTCCACGATGCAGGTGTCGGGCAAGTGATATTTATGTATAGCAAGTGTGGCGCCCTTCGGCAACATTTTCATTTCAGGCGTGAGTGGCTGCGATGGTTGTCAACAAGAGTCGTACCTCAACACACCGTTCATTCGGGGAGTGGCTACCAATCGCAAGTGCCGTCCCTCTTGCGTAGAGGCGAGCTTCCGGCCGAAGGTCTTTAACCAGGCCGAACAGTATCCTTAGGAAAGGATTGATGACATGCCCTTTCACGTCGCGATGTGCGCCATCGCAGCTAATTTCCCATCATCGCCTCACACCGCGTCTTATATGACAAGCTTTCCTTTCATCCCACTTCATTGTATTCAATGCTGTATTTTCTCACGCGGTCTGTTACCATTCACCCGTGTCTCATATTATGCTAGAGTGTGACGCATCCCCCATCTGACGGTGATCGCCGCTTCCCATGCCATCCTACGTCAGTGCAATCGGTCTGATATCATCAAACTGTCTATCATCCTGCTCCTCCTCCCTAAACGTCCCATATGGAGGCCCAACATCGTGTGCCACTTTTGGCTTGCTTGTCCGACTGTTCATACAACGTGGGAGGCCCTCGTCGAGGAATCTGCTCGCGCACCGTTCGTAGGCAACTTCAGACCGCCTCCGAGCCAGCCACAGGAGAAACGCTTGGCGCAGATAGAGAAGTTCCGCGAGGACTACGAGGCTCTGCGGCTGAGTCTGGGGCGGCGATGATGGTGATGTTGCTTAAGAGGATGGTTGTGGTGGCGATGATGACGACGACCAGCACGGGGAGAATGGGTGGTTGTGCTGATGATGCTGTTGCTGTTGCTGCTGCTGATGAAGCTGTTGATGTTGATGCTGTTGCTGCTGATGGTGATGATGATGCTGCTGATGAAGCTGACTAATGACGTTTATGGTCGTGATGTCTGTGATGGTTCGCATGCTTGTGGTGATCTTGATGAAGAGAAGCATGATGATGAGGATGGGAACGACTTGCATGGGTATCTGTATGTGATGTATGTATGTATGGCATGCGACCGTGCATGTATGTATGTATGTCTGTATGTATGTATGTATGTATATGTATGTGCATGTAGTTTTGTTTGCACACATATGTATATATATATATATATATATATATATTGATACATGCGTATATTTGCATATTCATGTATATGCATATGTATACGCATAGGCGTATGTATATGTACACGTAATGAACATGTACAGGTATACTTCTGCATATGCATATGCATACGCACATGCACACGTATCTTTACCTATACCTGTACATGCATACAAATATGTACACGCATATGTAGTTGTATAAGTGTATGCAACTGTACATGCACAAGCATATGTACGTGTATACGTATGGCTGTACGTATGTATGTATGCATTGATGAATGCATTTATGCCTGCATGCGTGTATGCATGCTACATGGGTTTACATGTTCTGGTACATGTATATATATGTATATGTATGTATGCATGCATACATATATGCATGCATGTATGCATGCATGCATGTATGTATGTGTTATGGTTGCATGCATGCCTGTGCGACTATATGTATGTACGTATGCATGTATGTAAATACGTATGTATGTATGCATGTATGCATGTATGTATACATGTATGTATGCCTGCATGCGTTCGTGTAATTATGCACGCATGCATTCATGTATGTACGTATGCATCCATGCATGTATGCATGCATGCATGCATGTATGCATGTTTAACCGTGTATATTCGTGTATATACGCGCGCAAGTATGTATGTATGCTTGGTTGTGTGCATCTTTGTATGAATTTATGTATGCATACAGGTCTACCTGTCCGCCTGTCTGTCGGTCGGTCTGTCGATCTGCATGCATGTATGTATGCATGACTGTATGTATGTACGTACGTAGATATGTATGTATGCCTGTCTGTCTGCATGTCGGTCTGTCTGTCTGCCTGTCAGTCTGTCTGCCTGTCTGTCTGTCTGTGTGCCTGTCTGTATGCATGTATGTATGTATGCATGCATGCATGCATGCATGCATGCATGTATGTATGTATGTATGTATGTATGTATGTATGTGTGTGTGTATGCATGGGTCAATGATGATGCGACTGCTGCTGCTGCCGATGTTGCTGATTGCGCGATGATGATGAATCGGTGCAAGTGGAGGGATGTGAGGAGGAGGGAGATGAGGACGAAGGGGGGGGGGGAGGAGGAGGAGAAGGAGGAGGAGGAGGAGGAGGAGGAGGAGGAGGCGGATAAGGAGGACGAGCATGGGCGTGGAGCAGGATGCGCAGCAGCAGCGATGCAACTCGAGGATCAGGACGGGGGAGACGCCAGAAACGGAGGAGTGTTGAGGAGGGATGGTTGATGAATGTTGAGGTGGGCGGGCGCGGACAAAGTGCCTTGGCCAATTTGGCGGGCAGGCGAGTCTGGAGCTGAGGGGGATGGGCGGAGAATGTGGGTAGCGCGATGGCGATGATGGGGAGGAGGAGAAGGATCATGATTTGGAGGAGGAGGAGGATGTTGCTGCTGCTGATGATGATATTGGGGATGATGTTGCTGCTGATGCTGCTGCTGCTGATAAGGGGGCGAGGAAACGAGAGGCGACGGCCGAGCATGAGACGGCGGCTGTTGATGCGCATGATGATGCTGCTGCTGACGATGTGTATGGTGGGCGTGATGCTGATTCTGATGATGACAGTGGTGAGGATGCTGCTGCTGATGATGATGATGATGATGGATGATGATGGTGGTGACCTTGATGATAATGGTGAGGACGCTGAGGACGATGACGATGCCGATGCTGCCGACGATGAGGATGACGATGGCGATGACGATGACCATGCCGGTGATGATGATGCTGCTGATGATGATGATGATAACGATGCTGATGACGACGATGATGATGATGCTGCTGATGATGATGACGATGATGTGAGGATGATGCAGGAAACGAAGAATTATAATGATGCTGATGTTGTTGATGATGATGGTGATGATGATGTTGATGATGATCATGCTGATGATGCTGACGATGATGCTGCTGGTGATGATGATGATGCTGTTGATGATGCATTCGAGGATGATGGCGACGATGATGAGGCTCGTGACGACAGCGACGATAATGAATTCGGTGGTGATGATGAAGCTGAGAGTGATAGTACTTATTTGTGTTGGTGGTGGTGGCGACGACAATCGTGATCTCAATGATGGTGGTGCCAGTACTGATTACGACAACGATGACGACGATGAAGACAATGATGACGATTATGGTGATGATGAGGATGATGCTGCTGCTGCTGATGATGATGATGATGATCATGATGACCATGACGAAGATGATGATGAGGATGATGATGATGGTGGTGAAGGTATGATGATGATGATGATGGTGATGGTGATGCTGATGCTGATGCTGATGATGCTGCTGCTGCTAATCAGGACGCTGATGAGGATGAGGACGAGGATGATGAGGATGATGATGATGCTGATGCTGATGCTGATGCTGATGATTCTGCTGATGATGATTAGGATGATGAGGTTGAGGATGAGGATGACAAAGAGGATGATGATGATGATGATGATGATGATGATGATGATGATGATGATGATGATGATGGTGAGCACGAGGATGATGCAGGAGACGAAGGATATGATGACGATGCAAATGTTGTTGATGATGCTGATGATGCTTATGATGCTTATGATGCTGATAATGATGATGATCATGATGATGATGATCATGATCATGATGACGCTGATGATGCTGATGATAATGCTGATGACGATGATGGTGATGATGATGATGATGATGAGGATGATGATGATGATGATGATGATTGTGATGACGATGACGATGATAACGATGATACTGATGATGATGCTGCTGATGCTGATGCTGATGCTGATGATTATGCTGCTGATGATGATGATGATGGTGCTGATGCTGATGCTGATGATGATGATGATAATGATCATGCTGGTGGTGGTGGTGGTGGTGGTGGTGGTGATGATGATGATGATGATGATGATGATGATGATGATCAGCTGCTGCTGCTGCTGATGATGATGATGATTATGCTGCTGCTGCTGCTGCTGCTGATGATGATGATGATGATGATGATGATGATGATGATGATGATGATGATGATGATGAGAGCGCCTTTTGTGTACGCTTCAGTGGTACAGAATCCCAACCTCCCCGCTCTGAAACCGGTCCCCCGTCGAACTTCCCCCCTTCTCATTGGAACCCCCCCGCCCTCCCCGGCAAGAACCCATCCCCAGCCCTCCCCGGCGAGAGCGGCCCCCCGAAGCCCTCCTCCTTGCCTTCCGAAAGTGGGAGAGCGGGGTTTCAATCCGCCCTCCTTTTGCCGCATCGTCGTCGGCGTTGTCGTTTGCTGGCGGCGCCGGCGTCGGGCGGGCGGGCGGGCGGGACACGTTGTCGACGTCGTCGTCGGCGAGTCGGTTGGGCGGGCGGACGGGACACGTCGTCGTCGTCGGGCCTTTGCTAGCGAGTCGGGCGGGCGGACGGGCGGGACACGTTGTCGTCGTGGGCAGTCGGGCGGCATACGTCGTTGTCGTCGTCGTCGTTGTTGTCGTCGTCCTCGTATTCGTCGTCGTGGGTGAGTTCGTCGATCGGGTGGGCGGGCTGGACAAGTCGTCGACGTCATCGTGTGCGAGTCGGTCGGGCGGGCGGCACAGGTCGTCGTCGGCGTCGGCGTCGTGGTCCAATCCTCGTCGTCGTCGTCGTCGTCGTCGTCGTCGTCGTCGTTGTCGTCTGCAGGCGCTGGGGGGTGGTGGTTGATACCCCTTTCCCGACTTTCACTCTGGAGAGGGGGAAGGGTTTTGACCCCTCTCCCCCTTCGACTTTTCAGGGAGGTGGAGGGGTTCGATCCCCCTGCACCCCCGACTTCCTCACAGCATACTCCCAAGACGCTCTTTCTGATAATGAGAGCAATGGTGACCAGCGTGATGATGATGGTGATGATGAAGGTGTCGAGGAGGAGGAGGAGGAGCAGGAGGAGGAGGAGGAGGAGCAGGAGGAGAAGCAGGAGGAGGAGGAGGAGTAGGAGTAGGTGGAGGAGGAGGAGGGGGGAGTAGTAGTAGTAGTAGTAGTAGTAGTAGTAGTAGTAGTAGTCGTAGTCGTAGTCGTAGTCGTAGTCGTAGTCGTAGTCGTAGTCGTAGTCGTAGTCGTAGTCGTAGTCGTAGTCGTAGTCGTAGTCGTAGTCGTAGTCGTAGTCGTAGTCGTAGTCGTAGTCGTAGTCGTAGTCGTAGTCGTAGTCGTAGTCGTAGTCGTAGTCGTAGTCGTAGTCGTAGTCGTACTCGTAGTCGTAGTCGTAGTCGTAGTCGTAGTCGTAGTAGTAGTAGTAGTAGTAGTAGTAGTAGTAGTAGTAGTAGTAGTAGTAGTAGTAGTAGTAGTAGTAGTAGTAAGTAGTAAGTAGTAGTAGTAGTAGTAGTAGTAGTAGTAGTAGTAGTAGTAGTAGTAGTAGTAGTAGTAGTAGTAGTAGTCGTAGTAGTCGTAGTAGTAGTA